AACCACGTTCCTTTGTCGAGCTGCATCATCAGGTAAACATGCAAACTCCACACAGAAAGACCCCGGCCTGATGTTGGAATTGAACTCAGGACCTTCTTGCTGTGCGGCAACAGTGCTAACCACGGTGCCACCGTGCTGCCTACAGCAGGAGGTGTTTATGTGAAATAAATCAAAGTCAGCTTTAGCTTTCAGGATTATTTATTTACATTGAGAACTATACAAACCATAACCAATATGACAACAACATATAGTGAACAGTGTGCCTTCCCCCCCCACAGTACACTGAACATTATCACATATCAACACTATAAAATGCATTTATGCAGCATGCAAAGCACGGCTGAAGCATGATGTGACCTTTTGACATGTAACCACAGCAAGTACAGCACTCCCATAAACACTGCATACAGTCAGTAACTCAAGTAACATCAAAAAATGTATTTACAAAGGCAGCATTAAAATGTTTTCTACATTTTAACAATAATGCATCGTTTCAAAATAACATGTGCTCATATCTTACTGATTTACAAACAGCCAGGTAAACAATGCCTGGTTACATTCTGGAGCACAAACATTTATTTACAAGGTGAGGGTTTAAAAATTGTTATACCACTCCAGCAAAAATAATCTATAGGAACTATTAAAAAACTACAGAAATTACTCTGACACATGATCAAGTTAAATCCAATGGATCTTGGCTTCAGGTTTCATTAATAGATTCCCTCAAAAAGACCATAAGCTGAAATAAATTGTCTCACAGTGTCATTGCCATCACCTATTTACTGCTGAATATATATTGGCGTTTAAAAACGGACTGAGTGAAGAGATTTTTCACGCAGTTGCATTTCCAGACCTTTGCTGACATACAAACGTTGCTGTACTTTAGTTTTAGCTGCATCAAAGATCTGCACACACACATACATACATTCTCCTGCTTGACCTACACCATTTTTGTGTTTCTAAACATACAGTGTAAGTTTTGGCATTTCAAAATAAAAGTGAACTAAAGAAGTGTTATATCACCATGTAAACTACAGGCGTGCAATAATCACAAACTGATTGTATTTCAACCTATCAGGTATGTGTGAATTAAAAAGTTAAAAGGATCCACTTGGGTTTCATGTAGTTATAAATATATGATTTTTTTTAAATCTTCGTTTAAACATTTAGTTTTATATATAAAATATTACACAAAGGCAGCTCGTGATAGAGGAATTTCCTATCTTTAAAAATTCATTTGGAGAATAGGCACTTTAACCTCCTAGGACCTGGCGTCCACATATTTGGACATCACATTTTGGGTTATTTAGACCAAAATACTCAATTTTGCTCTACAAGGGCCTGATAACCACTTACGAGGACATTATACTGCTACTATTCTATTGAAATTTTAAACAAATATCCCTCATTTGCGGCTCTCATTTTTCTTAGAAACAAAAATTTGGTAAAAAAAAAAAATCTGCTAATTCTTTGTTTTTACATTCATCGTGGCCCAACATGCCCAAATATCAAAGATAAATTAAAAATGCATGCTGTGGAAGAATTCGGGTCTTAAAAGGTTAAAATATAAACTCGATTAAAATAAGCAGCTTTTTTTCTTTGAGTAAAAAGTACAAATTCCCACAGATAGCATTGGTACTCTGGTAAGATTAGCAGTTGGTACCAATCAATCAGAAAGACCTGCAAACACATGGATGCACTGAGAATGCTACTTTTAGCACCATGTTGAGTTTATATGAGCTATACATTCAATGTACAAGACATCCAAAGACATGTGACTTGTATTGTTTTCAGTAATAGAAACACTGCTTAAACCCCCAAAACTGCATCTTAAGGGTAAATTTACAACTAAGGGATTTCTCAGTTAACAACTTTCTCACAAAAGGCACTGATGGTACATTAAAATTCTCACCCTCGTCCAAGTGTTTTGTCTTTTTTGTACACAGTCAACATATACAAATGTCGAGCACTTTGAAGCTAGGTGAGCAATAACACATTCTGAACATTATGTGATATCATTCATGTAAAATCTGATGTGCGGTCATTCTAATATACTGTTTAAAACCCAAAATGAAGTTTATGAAGATCCATTTATGGTCGGATAATATTTTTGTAAAAACAAAAGCATTTTGAATCGATGGATTCTGTTATGTTTTGTGAAACTGATCATTTCAAAGCACATTACAATAAAAAAAATACAACAATCTTCTTTTCACATAATTTCATACTGCTTCAATTAGAAATACTTGGCTAATTAGCCATTAAATCTTATTAGGCTTTTTACAATCATCATGTAGTCAACATTTTTGGTTGGTAGTAGAATTAAAAAAGTCTCCATGTGTCTCCTGAACTTGCAGATAGTCTTTCAGAAAACTTCATGGCTATTTCACAGCACAGATGTTACATTCTTTTTGGGGGAATCTCTGGACTCTTTCTTCTTACTGGCTCCTCGTGTTTTCATCTTTCTTGTCGTTGGCTGACGACTGAGCACTTGCATGGTCTGCAGGGACTCAAGGTCTTTGGCCATTTTGGATTTTTAAGCTCATTGTCATGACTGCATGATAATACGTTATGTTTAGGTTAGAATTTAATTGATAATCTTGTGTTGATAGGTCCTTTGTGACATTGTTCTGTGCCAACCTCGACACAGAAAACTTGTAGAGGACAGCTGCAAATGCAATTTTAACATTTTTTCCCCGTTTTTGAGTTGTTAGCGAATTGTAGATTTGTAACTTTTCATTTGTCTAATTTAGTTAGTTGATTGGCGTTTTCACAATAGGTAAGGGCTGTTTTGTTTGTTATGTTGTCCTTACCGCTCCGTGAAACATACTTGCGCCTTCTTTCCTGTACCCCTATTTAAATAAATGTTTTAATAAAACCCTCCCATCTCCTCAGAAACCATCTTCATCTTCTCGGGTGGAGTTTTGTGTATGGTGTAAGAAGGCTTCCTTCTCTGTTTCCATGGACTCTTCCTTTATTGTGCAGCTATCTTCGTAATTGTCACACTTGGCTAACCTCTCCTCTGCACTGTTACGTATACCATAGCCAAAGTAGATGGCAAAACCTACAATTCACATAGAAACATGAATTAATGGACAATAATAATAACAACAAGTTTTAAAAAATAAAATTACATCACAGACGTTAATTGTTACTGCTGGTCTAAAGTACCTATGGTCATCCAGATGGCAAAACGCAACCACGTTCCTTTGTCGAGCTGCATCATCAGGTACACGTTCACAAACATGCTGATGATCGGCACCAGTGGCACCAATGGGACCTGTGGATAGAGTATTTATTGGGTATAAGACTGGCTAAAACTTTGCATTTAAAACAAATTTTACAATCTGCAAAGCAATCTTTGACGTACGGGCAATGTAGGAGAATCCCTGACAAAATTAAGTGTTATTTTTTAACGCTCGATTGAAAAATTGTGCAGCACTTTTAATTCAAAACTCTCACATTTCTTTCCTGAGTGAGAAATCAAGACTTATTGTGGAATTACCCAATAAGCCCTAAATGCTTTTTTCTCAATATCTGCTTACAATAAAATCTAAACTGGCATTTTCTGTCTCTAGAATCACATCACATGTTATATAGTACATTAGTATATTATATCTCATATTTAACTCTTTATTCAAACAAGAGCATATTGACTTTTCAGCATTTTACATGGAGGAAGTTACTTTGAAAGAGGATCTGGGTGTTATTGATTATTAATTTCTAAAAGTGTCAAGCTCACACTGCTATGTGGGTATGAGATAGCATGAGAAAAGCCTTTAGTAAAAGGACACACACTTACTTTGAAGGTAAGGTTGGTTTTGCTCTGTGGCTGTCTCCATATAATAATGATTAGAACCAGGCAGATGGCCACGATAACACAGAGGGCAGTCAGAGACCAGCGTGCATATCCTCCCTGAGAAGCTACAACACTGAAGACACACACCAAAACACCTGGTGGGGGGAAAAAAAACAAAATAAACAAGCGATGACACCAGATGATGTGCTGGATCGGTAATCACATGAATAGTTCTGGGACTTTCATCCAGTTTCTCACCAAGTATACTGGTGCAGACGTTGACGATGAGTCCAGAGAGAGATGACGGCTCAGTGTTCGGAGGGTTAATAAGATTTTTGAAAGTGAAGCGATCATCAGGTTGCGATAAAATATCAACACTCCCATCCCTATATGTAATTTCAGGCTCATCCTGAGTATTGGCCATCTCATAGGCTGCACTGGGCTGTAAAGGCTGGTACCTTCACAAGACAAAAAAAGAAAATTACAAAAATGAAACTGTAAGAGTCCCTATCCCACTGTTCCCACAACTCAAACGTCTGCATACAACAGAGCTATAATTACTAGCACTTTTAAAAATCCATTATGCTAGGATAAGACACCATTCTGATGAGCCGACAGCTGGTTTTCCTGCTTTTCTCTACTCTCTACATCAAAGCAGAGCAGAAAAGCAGTATTAAAGAGACACAAATCTGCTCAGACTGCACTGTGCCATCTAGCTGCTGGTTTCACTCTTCACCTCTGAAACTGTTAGCCCTCTCAACAATTACACAAAGAGACTAACATGCAAGCACAACTGGCCGGGTCACAAAAACACTGAACAGAGAGGCTCATGTTGCAACACATAATAAAATCTCATCGTTAAATATGATTAAATCATTATTATAACCTAACAGCTATCAAATCAATGACATACAAATAATGTGCATTCTTATTTTTCTTATTATTCCCACTGGCACGATTTAGAAAAGGTGGAGGTCAGTCGTTTCAGTACAGTACTGTAGGAATTCCTGAGTAATTATCTGAGTAATTAAAATTACACGACTCTAATAAAAAATAAATAAATACAATAAAATTAATAAAAATAAGGGACCACTTGATCATCACGGTAAAATTCATAATGTAACAGCTCTAAAACTGTAGTTTTGCTCTTTGTTTGTGCTCCTGAGCTCCTCCTATTCCCGTGTCTCTCAGCATAGTTAAGTATGTGGAAGAGATACCAGGAGACGGCCTGCTACACAAGAAGAGCACGACCAGGCTGTCGCTCTTTGTGTTAGGAAGAACAGCAGGAGCCCTGCCAGAGCTCAGGCCCCCAGAGGCTACTTCCATACGTGCTTCCTACCGAGCTTTTAGAGACTCTGAGACAGTGGGAGGAGGTCGTGGTATCCTGTATTCATACGAGCACGATACTAGTGTGTGAGCACAGGCCCCGCTAGAAGATGCCCTAACCTCATGTAGGGCTGCTCGATGATAATCACGATTATTTTCACTGAAATTGAGATCTCGATTATTTGACGATATTTATTTAACAATAACAATGTATTGAATAATGGCTTTAAAGATTGTCAAAAAACAATATAAAATAGTGTGCAAATACTGATAACAGTGCAAATGTTTGCAATATAAAAAATAAATGAAAAAACATCTATGTTTAGTGAACTTTGCAGTGTTGCTCTGTGGTGCAGCTACGACACTGCAGCAAAGTTTACACACTATGTCTACTTGATCCACGTCTGACTCCGCGAACCCATAATGTTTCCACACCACTGAAGTTTTTTTTTTTACCTCTCTTTTCAACCAACGGCAGTCACTCTCCTCTCCAAATAACTTCTGCTTAGCTTTCTGGGCTTCCCTCAGGTCCTCTTAATTGCTGTGACGCGTGTTCGAAATGCAGAGAGGTGCGCTCGATTTGCCACACGGAGCAGCGCGAGAGTAAAGCACGAGGGAGGGGCTAATAATCGGCTCAGTCATTTTTAATGATCGTTGAAAGCCCAGATCGTAATCGAGATTAAAATTCGATTAATTGAGCAGCCCTAACCTCATGTCACCTTCATGAACTTTTTCTGACATAAAAACCAGTAAAACTAGACTACAATCAATCAATCATGAGTGATAACGACACAGCAATACTCTATAATAAACATGTGCAAAACCGTTCCCTTTTTGGGGGGGTGTCTTTGTTTTCCCTTTCCATTGCTCGTGCCTTCACTTATATTTGCACCGAAGCAGGTGAAATGGATTCACAGTGTTTCACGCTTCATAACCAGTGTTTAAATATGCCTGAGTTAAACTGTCTTTGTGATGATTAAGTGGTCTCTTAATGTTTTTATTTTCATTATGTCCATTTCTACATTTATCCTCGCCAGACATCATAGACTAGTCTGTTGATATCATTGTGGGAAGTGGCGTCAGACCAGAGTGTTCAGTATGCAGTATTAAAATTGAAAATAAAACACAGGCTGAATAAATAAGCTAAGAGATGAGGGTTACCTGAGGACCAGCACACAAGCTGCCACCAGAGTATAGGCCAGCAAAGTCCCAATGGACATGAGGTCAACCAGGTCCTTCAAGTCAAACAGGAAGGCCATCACCGCTGCAGGAGACACAGGTGAACCACATGAAGGTTACAAAAGCCATAAAGAACATTAATTGCATGAAAGCAATGCAGACATTGTATTTTTTCAGCTTAATTATTTAGAAGCTTGAACGACTTGCCACCATCCTCCTTCCATAAGGGGGCACTGTTGCCTTTGGCTTCATCTCAGCTACCTACCAGATAAAAGCCCTGCCACAAAGGTGGAGATGATAGGAGTCTTCCTCGCGCTGACACGCGCCAGAAACGAGAAGAGCAGACCATCACGGGCCATAGCAAAGATAATGCGTGGGAGTGGAAACATGGAGCCAAGGAGACTAAGCCAAGGATAAAAGGAAGGAGGAGGAGGAGGCACAGATTTATAACTTGAAAGAATGTGTGTGCAGTGTGGTGTCACACAAGTCCACCATCATTTTCAGCCCAACACCCTGACAGCAAGTTGCTGCGGTCATGCATTGTACTGGTAAATTTACAAACTTGATTAAAGTTGAGTTAGTGTGTTTAAGGCCATGTGTACCAAGAGTCGCCTAGGATCAGAAGAAAGTAACCCCAGCCAGTTTAGTTTAGTTTGTGACCTCACCTGCCGCAAGACCTGATGTTATTGTTGCTATTAGAGGGGTTTTGGTTCGTGTGCTGACTTTAGCCAAGCATTTGAAGAGCAGACCATCTTCTGCCATGGCCCAGATCACTCTGGGCATTGGGAACATGGAGCCTAGTAAACTAGTACACAGGAGAAAAAGAAAAGCATGCCATGCAAGTCAATCCACACAAAATGTATAACAAGTTTCAAAAGATTAAAACAAAAAAAGTGAGTGGATATAATGTAAATGCATTCAAACTGTAGGTCTACGTGATCGCTGAGCCAGCTGAGAGGTTTACTCGCATTCTCATTCAGTTTCAGTGCTGTGGAGTGTGACGTTTGGTCATTGTTGTTAATGCAGTTCATCCCACAGGTGTCATTGGCACTGAACTTCAGGCTCCCTACACTTTTATATCAGGCCTTTCATTTCAGTGTCAAGTTTAGCAAATTAGCAAACATGCTGCTTTTTAATAATAGCCAAAGTACTACCTAAGAACGAGCATGCCAATTAGTACGGATAAAAACAGTTAGTAAATGTTTTTTTTAAATCCATAAAACAATATATAATTAAGACATAAGCAAAAATACACAATACATCATAATATTTCTAGGAAATTATTCTTGAGATTAAAATTTTCTCCCAAAGTATTTGAAGCTGAATTAAAGTCACCCTGTGGAGTTACCTGCTATTAGCTTGATGTAATAATATTTTATTGTGTGGGACTTTGCTTCAACACAGATGCACTACTCAGTTAATCGGCAGGTGGCATAGCTTATCAAAAAGGCAGCCCAACCACATCCCACTGCAGGCTTGTTTTAACACGTATATGCTTTGTGCTTTTAATATTTTACAAGCAGATATAATTGTAAGACATCAAGAATAAACACAATGCATTTTAGTGAGTAAAACTATGTATACAATATATTTTTGTTACAGGAAAACACCACAGGGCATCTTTCAATAAATCATTCTGCAACTCGGCTCCATAAGATAATACCTTTGATGGTTTCTGCCACTTATTTGCATATTCAATCTCAGATCTAGTTAATCTTAGACTAAGCAAAAAAGACAATAATAATAAAATTATAGAAAGTGTAAAATACATGAATTATTCATTCCTAAAAAAAAAAGCGTGCTAAATAATTACAAGTCCTCAATGAATGCTCATGCTGAGAGGCAGCAGGAAACACACTTACCTAGTCGACAGTGCGCATAAAGAGCCAATGGCCACCGCGTAAGTGGCTCCCTCCCAGCCCACATACTTAAAAGCCACAGGAAGAGGGCTGCTCTTGTCCAGCATGTAGTAAGGCATCATCACAGTGAGGGCTGCAGATACACCAAAGTATGCCACAAAGCAAATGAGGAGAGAGGCCACAATGCCAACAGGAATGGCCCTCTGTGGATTCTTTACTTCTTCTCCTGGGGAGGGAACATGATCCAGCATGTTAAGAGAACATAGCTCCTTTATGAGTCACCAATTTAATATAATTTCCCTCACCTGTAGTGGCAATGCAGTCAAACCCTATGAAGGCATAAAAACAGGTTGCTGCACCAGAGAGGACTCCAGTCCAACCGAAGGGCATGAAACCACCAGCACCGAGAAAATCCTCATTTTGAATGAAATCGGACACACTAGAAATAACAGACAGAAAATATTTACTCATTTAATAAAAACCTCTGATGTATCATTAGGGATATAGACATTTGGGAATAAGATATTTATTAAACGCACTTAGAAGTAGAGTTTCTCGTGGCATTAAGGATCTTTTCAGGGTTCAGGTTCCAGTTTTCTTTGTTTCCTTTAACTAAGCCAGAGATGACTACAAACACCAGCACCAGTACATTGATGCAGGTAAACACTTTGTTTACCATGGCTGACTCTTTTACACCAAATACAAGCAGCCCTGCAAGCAGTAAAAACATGAAAGATTAAAGAACATAACCTGAAGCAATAGACAAAACAAGCGAGAGATGCATCCATTTCTGACCTGTCAGAACGACTATGATTACGACAGCAAATATGTCTGGATATTCTGCCAAGACTCCCGGGGCGTTCATGGTCATGTATTGTCTGCAAAAGAGCTCAATCTTCCTTCCAATAAGCTCATCAAAGGTTGCGCTCCATGCCCTGGCCACGCTCGAAGTTCCTGTGCAAACAGTATTCGGTATGTAAACTTAACAAAAATCAAGAGTAGCAGGGAACTCCCTCTTTATTTAAAGCGTCTCACCAATGACATAGGCGAGAATGAGGTTCCAGCCGGTGATAAATGCCCATACTTCTCCAACTGTAACATAGCTGTAGAGGTAAGCCGAGCCAGTTTTGGGAACACGCGCTCCAAACTCGGCGTAGCACAGACCAGCCAAGACTGAAGCCATGGCAGCGATGAGGAAGGAGATGACAATGGCGGGTCCTGAATTTTCTCGGGCTACGGCACCAGCGAGCACGTAGACGCCAGCACCGAGTGTGCTGCCGACGCCGAGGGCCACGAGGTCAAACGTGTTAAGACATCGAGCCAAGCGGGACTCCTCTATGCTACTGTCCACAACCTTCACTCTCAGAAGTTTCTTCCCAATGCCTTTCAGTGTAGACAGAATCATCTTGGTTTACAGTTTGGAGAATTTCGTCAATAGATTCCTGTTGATAAAGCGGAACAGAAATAAGGACAAAATAAGAAAAGAGACTACGCAACTGTCAATAAGCAAATGAAGACGATCTAAATCCAAAGAACATTTGGTTTAAATGTAACACGTATAACATGTATGTTTACAACACTAGAAACTATAAAGTTATTAGTCTGCAAAAAGAAAAAAAACCTATCTCATAATTCTTGCCATTACTGTAGGACTACAGTTATCAGTATTGTCATCCATTAGTTAATTGGATAACAAATACTTTTGCTTATTAATGAACAAAAATAGATACAAAAAGACAAAAACAATTAAAAACAGGTCTTTTAAATTGTAGGAATTTTAATAATTGTAATGCCTAAATAACTAAATCGTTTAATTGTATTTATGTGCCATATTAAAATCTAAACTTTTACAGAAAACATTTTTTAAATGCAAAAATAAAACTAATAAATAATCACAAGTACAGTTACATCAAGGCATGCTTGCAACCTGAACTACGGCACACAATAAAACAGCCTTTACTCGGTGTTCTTCGAAGGCTTTCTTACATTAGCAAGAGGCACAAAAAATGTTCAGACTTTATTGCATCTTCTAGATGAGGAAAATTTTGTTGCGTGTTGAAGTGTTTTTGCACGTGTGGTAACACATGTGGAATGTGGTAGTGAATGAGTGAGTACGCGTGTAAAGCAGTTGCGGTGGCTGCAATGAGGAAAAGCAAGCATATCAACATTGCATTGCTGCGATGTTTCCTGCAGCAGAAAACTGACATTCTGATGGTGTACATAACAATAATTGATGTTAATGCAACCTAACAACTTTTACCTAGTAATGGTTTTAATGAGCTTCTGTTTGAAAGTAAGAAAAACGTTTTCTTTCACTCCACCTGAACTCATCATCTGTACAAAGGCTCAGCCTCTTTGCTCTTTCCTGTTAATGACACTCTTCCATAGCTTAATACAGGAGACATAAAATTCACTAAAGTTTGTTGGCAGATGAAAGTGAAATTAATGTTACTGACTGTATATTCTTACTGATAAATAACATATAAAAAGACCAAACAAATGACTGAATGCATGAAAATTCCAGTGACAGCGTGATTGTACAGGCTGCACTTCCGAAACTTTAGATCTGGGATTTATTCAGTTGTACTAGCATACTAGAAGAAATAGCAGAAGCAGAAACAGCTGTTTGTCTGCTCCCTTTTTTATAAGAGGCTGCCTCTACAGGTAACTCTGTTTAATTTTGCAGAGTTTTTACATGCCCTTCCAGACACGACCCTAAGGGGATTCAATTTCTCCTCCCAGAATCGAACTGGGAACTTTCCCTGTTCACTTGTTAGCCAAAGATGTCTACCACTACACAGCGGTGTCAGCCCAGGGTCCAGAATCAGTCCAGCAAACACTCCAATCAGGCCCACTGAACAGCTTTTGAAAATGTTAAGGAGCAAATAGATTTTTACATGGACTTTAATACGTTTTAAAGCTTTTCCTATTGTTAAAGACCCCACCCCACCTTTTCCATTCATACAACATCAAACTAAGTACCACTAAATTAAGTAATAGATAAACAATCAAATGACAAAAAAAAGCTCCTGATTTTTCCACCATTTACTATCCGTTCGTTAAGTCTGACGTCACTAGCCGTGTCTGGGCCTAAACTCCGCTGCAGGTCCATATATCAAACGATCACTATGGCA